TATATGGGACCAGGCAAAATATCAATCAAGAATTACGATAATTTGTAAAAAGTTTTAAGAAACAAAGCAAGAAATGCATCAACCTACAGACCATATTTTTTACAAGCTAGCAGTAAAAGCTATAGAGGAACTCATTACAATTTACTGCAACATGGAAAACAAGAGCATTTTCACACATCTCATGAAAAACAGAAGTAGCCATTATTTTTCAATCCTCTACCATTCTGTGGGCCATTTTCAACACCGCTAAGCAGGCATGGAATTTAGACTGCAATTTTCACAGGGACCCCAAGTGAGTTAATGGCCTAATCTTTATTGAAAATTCTGGTCTTAACTTCGAGTTGCCAATAGCTGTAACTGCTCCCATAATCAAATATCATAGTCAGTGATTCCTTAAACTGGCTTATGTTACTCAGTTTGACATTTCAAAAAGAAAATAAAAAAAAAGAGCACATTATGGTGGTTTAGTTATGTTCTTCCATTTGTGGGCATTAAATAGCTGCACCATCGCTCTGCCCATAAATCAGAAAAAATGCAGACATCTGAACAAACAACCCTACTGAAAAAAATCATGTATTACAGCTACAAAAAAGTAAATATGGACTTTTTTTTTTCTGTGCCTCCAGGAGAATCATCACAGTAAAAATAAATACAGATGCTAAAAGCAGAAGGATTAGACAAGCTAGAACTGGTACAAGACTCTGCATTTTATTAGCATAATTTATATTCTAACAGGGTCCAATGTGGTGGTGAGAAATGCAAGGAGTATCCAGCCTCTGACAGGATAGGGACCTGCTCTTTATCACAATAAAATTAAGGTTAACCCTATCAGTACTCTATGGATCTCTCATAAATACATATCAAGCCTCACACAGAAATTATTAACTTATAAAAATGTCAAATGCCGCTCTGTATTAATGGAATCAAAATAAAACATATTGAGGAGAACATTCAAGCCATAGATGGGTGGTCATTCACATAACCATTCACATGACTCTAGTAAGGCCACTGGAGTTTGGACTGCTTCGAATGGGGGCATAAATTTAGCCAGAAAAAATAGCGTGCTTAGAGTGATAACAACCCACCTTAGTTCTCATAATCACACACAAACTGCATTCAATACCCACATCTCTTGGGCTGATATTGCTGCCCTCAAAAAAAAAAAAAAAAAAAAAAGCCCTCCCACAAACACCAGTAGGAGCTCCCAAGTCCCGCAGGTGTCCACTTTACGCTGAAGACAGCCCATGAACCAATCACTCTGCTGCTCTGGGAACAGGACAGGACAAAATAAAAGTGCTATATATTTTTCCTGACAACCACCCCATAGGAATGCATTTCCTCATTCTATTCCCATGCAGCCCGCATTTCACTTGTGCAGAACTCAAGGGATTAATATTTTGCAATGTAACCAGCCAGGACAGTTGAAGGAAGAGTGAACAAGGTGTGAGCTCAGGCCCTGCCAAAGAGATCCACTGTGCAGCTCCAAGAAGCAAGGCATCACCCCTTTTCCTTCCTATACTATGTATTCCTGAGCCTTTTCCAAGACTCCATCTCTTTACAACATCAGTCCACACAGCCAGCTCAGAGAAAGAGCTGTAAAGTCCAGGGCAGATTTATCTCATGAGATCAAGACAAACATTTCTCCATCAAGAAAAGGCAAGATGACATTCTAGGGTGTGGGGGCAAGTTGGCTGCTTAAAAGCTCAGAGAGGCTGCTGCCAAGTCACTAGAATAAGAGGCAGAGGCAATTTTTGGTCTTCTCCCAAGCTGATGAATGAGAACAGGTCAGTCTAGGCTGCCTTGAGTCCCAGCAGCCTGTCCTGTTCACCTCCACAGCTGCATGCTCTTCCACAGCAAAAGTATAAAAGCACTATACCAAAAACCAATCTGTGAATGGCTGTAAAGAAATCTTGTCTTCATGCTTTTCAATAATCAACATACTACTAAAGCAACAGTCCCAGCAACGGATACAGAGAGACTGCTTCACAGCTCGAGAGCCCGTGTGTTGTGTCCACGTGCACCTGGATGCTCACCCACCCTGTGGCTGATATTGCGGTGCAAGCACCAGCTTGCTACTGTGCAGAAGGAACAAAATGGACATCATTCACCGGACAAGAGCTATTAAGTCAGCTGCAATCCCCAGCCCTGCCGTCGGCACAGCTCCATCTCTCAGATCCCTTGCCATCAGCCGAAACAGTGTGAGCTCTAAATTTAGAATCGTCCCCAGCTGCCTGCAGAGTCTTGGGCAACTCTCTCAGTTCCTGCCTCTCCACCTAGACAAGGTAATAACACTGCCCTGCTTCACGGACAGAGGAGAGCATTGATTAAACCCTGTAGCAAGGGACAAAGTATCCACTCCAAAGTATTTCCACCTGACAAAGTAAGAGTCAGTGAAAACTGCCAGGGTATCCATTTTTCAACCTCTTCTCAAGCCAGGAACAGAAAATAACAATGGCCCCCATCTTATCCTGGGAAGAATTTTACATGTACATACACCCCTAATTAATAGAAGGCTACCACGTACTTGAAAAACCTTCTGATTTTGCATATATATATAGCTGATTTTATATACATTAATATATATTTTTTATATATATGAATGAATGATACAGGAGCCCTCAAAGTCTTAATCTGCAGAGTCCTCTTCTGCTTTTGTACACAAAATTCATGTTCCTTTCCTCTGATGTGCAAGTGTTAGCGTAGATCGTTCCTTCACCGCTTATTCAAGGAACTGCACTAACTGAATTACCGTGGCGGACTTGTCTGGGGTAGCTGCGTCCCTTTGCCAGTACATGTGGCAATGCTGTTCTTCACATCAGGAAAGCCAGTGCACAAATTCTACGGATGCTGAAAAAAAACCCACTAGTTTTAGGCTGCTGCTGTTTTATTTATTCTGTAGGCAGGACTGTAAGTTTAACACAAACTATTGATTTCTTCAGTATAAGACCATGGATTTAAAGCCAGGCAGGAACTTTAAAGCCTCAAATTTGATCATCTGCAATACACAGACTACAGCAATTTCTTAACTCAGTAAAACCGCATTTGAAGTGGAGCCCATATCTTAGACTCTGTTTTGATCTTACAGACAACTGTAGTGTACCTCCTGCATCAATCTACAGTACATGGCTCAGAGGAAGGTCAAATTTCCTGGTTTTTTAGTAAGAACAACTAAAAACCAACAGGCTGAAGCAGAAAGGGAATCCTTCCTGACACTTTTCCGCTATTTTTACCGCTGAAGAGTGAAGACCAACATTCTCTGACAGACTTGTCAACATACCAGCGCTGATTGCTTTATGAATAAAAATGTTTCATTGGGTTTTTTTCCTTCCTCCCTCCATACCCACACATTTACTGAAAGATCAGCCTCAACAACAGGGAATTCCACAAGATGATGATGTGGAGCATAAGAAACATTTATCTTTTAAACCTACTCCTTAATATTTTCACGTATTTCTTCTGTGTTCAGGACAGGTCTTTAGTAAGTCATTATTTTAGAAACTGTTATTTCTCTGCTTCAGATCTCTTAAGCAGAGGATGTCCTTCCTTTCCCAAACTGAACCAGGGTAGCCTCCATAATCCCTCTTCATGACTGCTCTCCCCCACCTTTCCAGCACTTATAATCATTTCTGTTGCCCTTCACTGAAATGAAGTAACCAAAACTCAATATTAAATTCACAATGAGGCGAGTCCATCAATTTATACAATGACATGATAATATTTTCTAACTGATTCCCTTTCTAAATAGATGCCAAGTGTTGTATTTGGGTTTTGGAGGCTGATTGAATATTAAGTAGATGCCTTTATTAAGATGTCATGTATGAAGTTTAGATCTTTCTCCCAAGAGGTTACAAGTAATTCAGAATCCAATAACGCATACAAGTAATTTTAAATTGCCCCTTCTCCTTTAATTACCTTGCAAGTTAATTCCATGTTCCAGCTACCGCATGCTGTCCAGCAACCTACCTCTGTTCAGTCCTTCAGAAGTGCACCTGACAATCACCCACAGTGTTCATTAATTAATTCAGAGCCTTCTAGAAAGTACTGTTGACATCTTATCCACTCCTCGTACAGGTTGTTGCTAAACATGCTGAATATAACTAGATCTACTGTTAATCTTATTTGGCTATTTTGTGTAGTTATTTTTAATTTTTATTTATTTTTTTGCTGTTTTATCTTTCCATTACAGAAGCAGCTGTTTATTGGTCTGATGACTGTTAATTCATGGCAAAATTTTGTCACCCTGTGATTTCCAAGTTCCCTTAAGTCTTCAACTGTAAGAGACTGTGTTTGACAATTTTGACTGAATAGGCAGGTTATGCACAATTATGCCCTTGTTTTGGATTTATTCCTGTAAGTTTGTCTTGTTTTTTTTTTTTAAGAAAAATTATTTTAAGGAAAAAGATAATTCAGATAGGCAATCTTGCCCTTACAATAGAAATGCCAAGTAAACACAGGAACAAAAGTAAAACATAAGTAAAATTTGAAACCACAAACAAAAGCTTTGTTTATTAAACTTTTATACCTTTACCTTGTCTTTCCACTAGAGCCTAAGTACACATGTGCTGCAAGAAGCAACTTGGAAAGATAATGACTTATGTGCCTTTGCATGGGCTAAGGACACCCTCTTTGTAACATTAATGTGGCTCGTCATTAGAAACTCTCTTAATTCTGATGGGTGTCTCTTCCTACATGTTCCTAGTAAGGCTCATTGGCTTCTTTGCTTTTTTTGTGGGGGCTTTTGGTGTGTGGTTTGTTTTTTTTTTAAATGGCAGAGGCACTTGGCAATATCTGTGACCTTGAGTTGTACACATGAGCAAGCAAGAGAGCCTCGTCCTGCAAGGCTGTTTATGCATTCTGAGAGAGCTCCTCCTGAGAGGGGTGTCTCAAGGAAGACAGAAGCATGATGTGCATACCAAGCCAAGTGTTTCATGATTTATTTATTGGGAAAAGGGGCATAAAAATTTGCTGAAGGGGAAAGAAAAATGAAGAATCTGACTTACCTTGTCACTGTAGACGAAGAACAGAATCACAACAGTAAGCTCCAACAGAAATATAATTAACAGCATGATAAAAAACTGTCAAAAGAAGAAGGGACAGGGGAGAAAACAAAAAGCAAAAACCATCAACATCTATTTCAGCTTATTCTGGATGCACAATAAATACATTTAGCAGATCATGCAGAATGGGGGAGTGGGAGTCATACAGGCAGCAAGATTCAAAGCTGCTGTGTTACAGCAGAACAGAAGGCACGCGACATGCAGCAACTGAAAAAGCAGGTAAAGGACTAGTCATGAAACACAGCATTATCCAGGCATACGTATGGGTCATTTATATCACTGATTTCAGTAGGACAGCATAAAACCCACAAAGATCTGCCCCCTGCGCAGGCCAGTGCTCTATTTGACGCAGTAACCCTTGAGGATTCTTCCCACACTAGGTTTTCGTTATTTTTTTCCCCATCAGACCTTTCCAACTAATAAGATATGAACGAAATCCCCAGCTTAGACTTCCCATTGCAAGAGAAGGTAGCCTGGACCATAAACCATAAAGTCATAGCTCCTTTCACAGGGATTTGTGGGAGAACTGAAAGGCACACCAGAAAGCTTGTATACCAAGTTAGCTTTACAAGCAGTTCCGTGCAGCTACACAAATCATCCATGGGTTTCAACTGAAAGGGGCTGTCTTGTACTGAAGACATTAAAGTAAAGTCAGTTCATCTCTTTTTCTTTTCATAAGCCATGGAACTGTCTAAATCCCAGCAGTCAAAAGCTTAAAGGAGTGGATAAAAAACTTTTAACACAAGGATTAACAACATGCAACACTACAGGTTTGGGGAAGAGTGGCTGGAAAGCTGCTTGGCACAGATGGATCTGGGGGTGTTGGTCAACAGCCACCTGAATATGAGCCAGCAGTGTGCCCAGATAGCCAAGAAGGCCAACAGCATCCTGGCTTGTATCAGGAATAGTATGGTCAGCAGGAGTAGGGAAGTGATTATCCCCCTGTACTTGGCACTGGTGAGGCCGCACATTGAATGCTGTGTTCAGTTTTGGGCCCCTCACTACAAGAAAGACACTGAGATGCTGGAGTGTGTCCAAAGAAGGGCAACCAAGCTGGTGAGGGGTCTGGAGCACAAGTCTTATGAGGAACGGCTGAGGGAACTGGGGTTGTTTAGGCTGGAGAAAAGAGGCTGAGGGGAGACCTTATCGCTCTCTACAACCACCTGACAGGAGGCTGTAGCCACGTGGGGGTTGGTCTCTTCTCCCAAGAAACAAGTGATAGGATGAGAGGAAACGGCCTCAAGTTGTGCAAGGGGAGATTTAGATTGGATATTAGTAAAAATGTCTTCACCAAAAGGATTGTCAAAGCATTGCAACGGGCTTCCCAGGGAAGTGGTTGAGTCCCCATCCCTGGAGGTATTTAAAAGACAGGTAGATGAGGTACTTAGGGACATGGTTTAGCAGTGGACTTGGCAGTGTTGGGTTTATGGTTGAACTTGATGATCTTAAAGGTCTTTTCCAACCTAAACGATTCTATGATTCTATGATTTCAAGCAGATTCTCTAAATCCCTCAGCTCTGATCATCTTCAGCAAGAGGAACTGTCGGCAATGCCAAACACTTCTGAAAAGCCTATCTGCTGCTTTTTGTTAAGATGCTGGATGGGTCTGCGGCACAGGTCTGCAGCAACATCAACACAGTGGTTGCACTGACTTTAAAACAAGCGCTATTAGACCATTAAATGAAACTGAGTTTTGCAAAGACAGGTAAAGGAAAGAGAGCAATTTTGGAAACTTTTTAGGCTCAGGCAAAGGTCCTGCTCCCTATAACATGAACTCCATACACTTAGCAGCCTGCAAGGCTGGAATTCTAATAATGAGCAGCACTGACTTAATTGAAATCCTATCCCCAAGAGGGAAAAACCAGTTACGGTCTCTTCAGCTTCAACCACAAGACTGCAAACTTATGAAAGTTTAATAGCTACAAAGCCTTATCAGAGCTTCTTCACTGCCTGGTAAGTCAAAACCAAACCTTTGAACCTATGGATTTCTGTGACTGAATGGAGGGCAAAAGGTCAAGAAGAAGAAAATACCTTTCTCCACTAGTACAATTACACTGTCTACAGAACTCATTGCATTTTGCCCCATGAGTCTTAAATTAAAGTTTATTTTCAAATCTTCATCACTAGTCTCTTCACACGTGCCTGACCCTAATACTGGATCTTATTACTGCCCAGTTTTGAATCACAGAACTCATTCACACTTGTGATCCAAGCTGATTTCCATATCATTACCATCCAACACTGACCTTCCATATGGCTTTGCAAACCAGCCTTGGTGAAGCTGGCTTATTTTTTATGTTTACAATTTTAGTCTGCTGCACAGTATTAATTGAAAGCATGTAACTCTCTGTAAAGATGCACAGACACTTATTATATTTTCTTTGGCTGTGGTATACGTTTTTGCTCGGCCATAAAGCATGGCTTTTCCAAAATGTGCATGCAAACACCACTGCCTCCCTGTGAAATCCACTGGCACAGCCTGGATGACATTAGGCAATTTCTAGAACACAGGAAGGACTCGTACCCATTACAGCAATCAGCATTTCCTACCACAGGACCCCAATTTCGTCAGCTTCTAATTTTGCCAAACCTTAATTGTCTATGCTTATATATTCTGAGCTTGTTTCTGTCTAAAGGATAAAAGCTTTTGGAAGAACTTCAAAAATAGCACTTTAGTTACTTCTAAGAATGAAGCAGGGTAAAGTATGTTATTCTGCTCAGGTTAAATTTTTGGTAGCTTAATTTGAAATTCTGTCATGCTCTGGTGTTTAGAGCAGAGACCTGAAACAAAGTGCAACCCCATTTCAGGCACGTGCCTTTTGTCTTCCCCAGCTATGAGTGGATTTCTCTGCAAAAGTTATTAGCCTTCAAAAAATGCATTGCACACATCCAGCAGAGAGGGCTCAGCAGCTAAAACCTTCAAAGCCTACAAGCACAAAAAGCCTGCTCGCATCCTTCCCACAGTTCACACGTGACCAGACAAGTCACAAACCATCCCACAGAGCATCCTCCTCTGGCACCCACACGTGTATGCAATGCCTTTCTGCCATCCCCTTGGAGCCGATGGGCCTCCAGTCCCACTTCATAAGAACCGAGTAAAATTCAGGGACACATTTTTCCTGTGCTCTGAAGAAAGCTTTCCTCCCTTCCCTGCACTCACCAGCACAGAGACAGTACAGATGAAGCCAGAAAATCACTTTGCAGGAGAAAGGGGAGCCTGAGGAACAACATTTTTAACAACAGATGGGGAATGGTTTGGTTTAGGACACAACCTGGCTACCAATTTTAGAGAAGTGACCTACTGGCAGTAGCCAACTGGGGCAGGAGATGCCAGAGAAAAAGGCAAAGCCTGCACAATGGCAGGGGATGCCTGCACACGTGGATACCCAGGAGGAGCAACACATTTGAGAGGATGGCAGCCTGCGGAGGACCTCGCGCTGGAGCCATGGAAAAAAAAAAGAGCAAGGAACAAAGAGTGGAAGAAAAAGGAAAGCACCCCACACCGACCCCCACGACTGAGTGTAACGTGCAGGGAGCGGACCGGAGACTGGCAGGGGGAGAGGAAAGGTGTCTGGAGGGAAGTCGAGGTGTTTTCTCAAGCGTGTAATTGTTTGTCATTATTTCTCAATGCCAGAATTAGTAATTAAAAGTTTATCTTAATTGGCAATAAATTAAGTGAAATGTCATGACTCAAGACCATTTTCCCCTGCAACACCCAAGTCATACACCTCTGCTAAACCCCTCCGTCTTAGCACCAGAGCAGGCAGCTGCTGTTGCCAGCTGTGTTGCTATGTCCAGCAGCAGAAGCCCATGGGCTGGATCTGCTGGCAAGACCATGATGGTTCTCCTGCCTTCTTCTGTTCATACTAGAGAAATAGGTATGACATTGACATTGTAAAAGATGCTAAATTTCCTCAAAATTTAGGAAATCTCAGAATCAAAGTTCTCTCAGTGATGGTTATGCACCACGTCCAAGT